CTATTGACATTACGTGAATAAAACCTTACGCACACTTCTCAAGCCCAATAACGGATTGACATAACTGCTTACACACACAAGTTTTTATTATCATAATTATAAACGGCTGAACTACAAAGAATGTTCAGGTCAAAACAATGAATCCTTTTAATGGATTAGCAATATAACCCTATTGAAATCTAACGCCTTCTAATGGAAACCGTTTATAAAGCGACAGTAAACAACTATTTCGTATTAATAATGACTATTTACAAAATAACCCATTATTAAATATGATGTGCCTATTTCTGAAACTTTATTGTTTCCTTGATTTACCGTCAAAGTCGCTTCATTAATCGATCGTTTACGTGATTTACACATGTCGTAATCAGTATTTTATCATGATGATTCAGTGATATGTTGACTTGTTTACCAATTAACATACCATGTTTCAAGAAAAAAACTTATGCACACACTTTTGTGATAAATTGTTTATTAATTGGGTATTAAACATTTGACTATCGATCTCATTCAGTAATCACTATTATCAAATATTCAAACCGGTTCTCAGTTCTTTTTCCAAAAACTTTCTTTCAATGAGATACATTTAATTGATTCTGTCAAGATAACTAACGATATCAATTCAAGTTCTACTTGATCGGAAAGCAAAAATTTATCCCAATACACATTCACCAACAGTAGGATTGCACGGTAACGCGATTAAGTTGGTGTCTTTTTCTTGAAAAGTCTAAATTCTTTTCAAGACTAAGATTACAGAAGAAAAATTATTCATTATCATCAAATTTCAAATGTAAAAATGCAAATTATGGGTTGACATTATGCACACGGCAATTAAGATTCCCTACCACCCATTTGTAAAAAATTGTAGAGTGTGAAAGAAAAATTTAGCGATCTGTGATTGGTGGACTTGTTTTGCAAGTGTGTGCTCAAGTGATAATGAACAAACATTTTGTCACCTTTAATAATTTTGTAATTGGTCGTAAACTGTTCATCTTTGTAATCTGATTAGTTGAAATTGAAATCGCATCTAGAGCTGTGATTGGATGTCAGAATTTTGATTTTAACATTTGAAATTTAATGATAATGAATAATTTTCCTTGTGTAATCTTAGTCTTGGAAAAAATTTAGATTTTTGAAGAAAAAACACCAACTTAAGTGCAATCCTACTGTTAGTGAATGTGTATTGGGATACATTTTTGATTTCCGATCAAGTAATTTAATGTCAACCTTCAATTGAAGTTGTTAGTTATGTTGCCACGAATACTTATATGTATCACATGAAAAGAAAGTTTAGGGAAAAAAGAACTGAAAACCGGTTTGAATATTTGATAAAAGTTATTCCTGAATTCGGTCGATTGCCTAATGCTGAATACCCAATTAATAAACAAACTATCACCAAAGTGTGTGCATAGGTTTTTTTGTAACACATGGTGTGTTAATGGGAAAAAGAAATCAACATATCAATAAATCATTATGATAACTTACTGGTTGCAATATGTATAATTCAGGTGAAGCAACCATAGACCATCATTTAATGAACTGACTTTGACAGTATATGAAAGTAGTAATAAATTTAACCGAAATAGGCACTCCATATTTAGTGAACGTTTATTTTGTAAATGGTCATTCTTAATGAGAATGAAAAAAAACGTCAGATTTCAAAGGTTAACTTTAAAAGTCCATTGACACGGTTTATTGTTTTCACTTGTGATTTATTTGTAGTTCTGTATTTTAAAATTAATTTTTTGGTCGTAATTAAAACTAGTGTGTGTTTAATCAGTCATGTGTGAATATTGTTAACCGCCATAATATGAAACCTGAACTATATCTAGACATTAGGAATGTAACCATTTTTGACAAGCATTTGAAATATCAGTTACATGAAGTGTCAATGAATAAGCCTACGTCCTCTGACTGACTCAACAAATATCTATGGACATTCAACGTATGAATATGAATAAGGTCAACTGCATCAATGAACATTTACAATGTTCTTCTTGTTTATTGTCCTTATGACCATTATTATTGTGTCAATTGACAAGATTCATTTCTCATAGTATGCATTTCATTGACACAAAATATTTTGCATTTTCAATTTTCCTATAATGCTTAGTCACTTATTGTGACTGAACACTTTACTGCAAATCATCATGACGTTTATTGAATGACCTTTCTAATTTACAAATATTACAATTCGTTAGTATATATATATATCGTAACAGATGTAAACGTTCACCATTGTTAACACATTGCATTGTCAAATTCATTAATGACATGACATATTTTTGGCCTTTATAAAATATGGAAATTATGGACTTATAACTGTATAGTATGATTATACCAGTAATTCATAGTTATATATGGGTGTGCAAATGAATACAGTGATATAATCAGTAGTTATGAATCACAATGAAGGCTTAGTTGACGATTGGACGTAATTCATACGTACGCATACTTCTGGTATCAGGTACTTTTAATATAAAACAAGAATATGAAACTCTTGCATTTTGTATTCATGAAACGGATAATATTCTTATTTCTTTTTACACTTACTATATGACCTTTACTCGCATGAATCATTTCAGTGATGATGATGATGGTTTAAACTTGTTTTATAATATAATTATTTTATTCCTAAATAAGTTAATTTTCTTCATTGTGTTTACTTCTCTATTGGCTTTAATCACATTCATCTTTGTAATTATATTATTATATTCACTAATCAATGTCATCATAAATTGATTGACCTAACGACAAAATTACGATATTCACTATTTAAAATATTCCTATTAAAATGTACTCAAATGTACTAGTATTAGATAGTTTACAAATGTGTTACTAAGACATGAACAGTAATCACATTATTTTAAATCTAAATTATTACATCAGTGTTCATCAAATGACAAATCTTGTCTGTTTTCTTAACCTTATATCTAATATACATTAGAAACATGTTACGAATACATGAATGATAATCGCTTTTCGATTATTAATACCTTTGCCATAGACAAAAACAATATTGTGAAAAATGAATTAAATCAGTTTGTCGTTCTCGCGGTCGTACGTCGTAATTGTTAGTTGGTAATGGCGCACACATCGGACAGTGGACTGCTCGTACGTTCGTTGATGGATCATAAGCACAGTTCTCATCGTCTAATTCGTATTCGCATAGCCCACCCAAAGATGTTATGTGCGCTTTAAATTTTCCGTAATCACCTATCGTTTACATTATAAACTGGCAAATGGCTTACCAGGAATGTTCGCCTGTGAGAACACTTTGTACCGCATATTATAAATATCTTGATCATTCAGTAGTTTCTCATAAGAATGGTAAGCATAATTTTTAATGTGGAATGAAGCAGTACCAGATATTAGCAGCGGTCGCACAGTTTCAAACTCGGCCTCCGTTAACCTGCGCACTCATGAATTACTTTGGTACCTCAGGGAGTTGCACTCGTGATTGTGATGCACATTCCCACTTACAACAGTCCAGTAGCCGTCGATAATCTTACAATACATGAAGGCCGGACATTGAGTGTTCATGGAAGCCCTTCATGACAAAAAATGTTAATAACATAAATAAAATTACCTCCTACGTCTGATCCGCTGTGATGAACTGCTAGATGTTATACGGCCATGTCTCCAGCACACAAATTTAATATACGAGTTTTCATCTCTGCACAAATGCGAATCTCGAACTACATAATGACAGTAAGTTGATCTTTCATAATTTGTGATAGCGGACTTCAACGCTTCAACCGATGGGAACGCAACGAGAAACAAGGTTGTCAAAAAGACTTTCTCCATTTCTGTTACGTGAGAAACAACAGCGCCTGCACTCGGCACGTTACTCTCCTCCATAATGATGATTAAAATGTACTTCGTCGACAAGTACTGATGTTTTATAAAAATCCGACAAAACATAACTAACCAATTAAAACGAACTTTAAAACTAGCCATGTCATTAGAAGAAACGGGATGAAAAATATCGTAATTTTGTGGTTGAAAAAAAAATTTAAAAAGGGTGGTGGGGGTAAAAAAAATTGCCGTGCGGATAATGAATTTCGTTTAACACTATCTCAATGTGAAGAAATTCTATCACATTTTTAGGTTTGTAAGCAGCTGCCAGAAACCTCGAAATATTATGAATTCATACTATTCTGTATCAATCTTTGTTCTTGCTCTATTTAATTTTGATTGGACTACCACAGTCACCAGTTAATACATAATCATATGTTTATGTGCTTAATTGAAGTGTTTATTTATTCAAAACTGTTATAACTTATGATTTTATGCCCTTGGTCCTTTGTTTTCCACCTCGTCGCCAATTGTTGTAAATTGTGCCCTGTGTCCTATTAATTTATGATGTAACGATACTACCAATTAGAGAACAGTGATTGATCGATCGAACCAATAACGCATGAAAACCCGTACAAGAAGTCTTTACTGGTCCTGCTTCCTGCCTAGCTCTGCCTGTTAGAGTCCAGAACACCAATCTTAGTTTTTGCAATACGAATCATTTATTTCAAACATACGAAGTTTCTCTACCAACCAAACAGACCACATCGTAGCATAGAAGATAACATTTGTACAAGATCTAGTCAAAAGTGGAGATAGACTGTGTATAACTCAAGAATGGTAAATCGTATAATAATAGTTCATTGATCAAAATGAAGCTTATGATAAGGGGAACATGAATATGAATAGTTTAGTTACTTAACAATTATACAATACAAAATATACGTATAGTATTAGTTCAGAAATGGATCTCAAAAGTTACCACTCATTATTCTTATCAGGATCTAACTAAAACGATGTTGACTTGTATATATTATAACATTGAATATCTTCTATCTATCTTCAATTCAATCATTTGTAAGCATATAAATAACTCTTATTGGTTTTGCATTGAGTTTACAAGAATATTTGAGTAGTATAGTAAATTCAACTTTGAATGATAATTTAAATGAATAACTAAACATGTATGGTATATATTGTAGCCTAATGCTGGATGGAAAGCTCAAAGAACTAATCGATTTAGTACAATTGAAGATGCTAAATTAATGATGGGTGTTATATTGGAAGATAATAATCAAAGAATTAAATTACGTCCAACAATTAGTCACAATGATGTTAATATTAAATTACCAAAATTCTTTGATTCACGTAAACATTGGAAGAATTGTCCAAGTATTCGAACAATACGTGATCAATCTTCATGTGGTTCATGTTGGGTAATAGATGATTTGTTATAGTTTACAAAATATATATATATATATCGCTTGGTGTTGTTTTACATGATCAGTCTCCTTGTTAGCACATGTGGATTCTGTGCAGATTGACTCGATATAGCCCTAAGTCACAAGGTTTTCTAAGCAAAGATGGATAGCAGGTAGAAGAGGAATCCAGTTTTACGTGTGTATCGGCAATAGGGTGAAGTTTTACATTCACTTGATGTTGTTTACTTGTATCTTCTGACTGTTATTTAGGACTGTAATTGATCAGTGGTCTCTTGTTGGCATATGTGAATTCTGTGTGGACTACCTTGGTATAGCTTTAAGTCACAAGCTTTTTTAAGTAAAGATGGATAGTGAGTAGAAGTGGAATTCAGTTTTACGAGCGTTTCGTTCTATTTAGGACTCATTATATAAATATCGTTTCTATTTCACCTTATTATAGAATCATGTCGTTTAATGATGTTATATGCACTTTAATCATATCAGTTTCTTTTCATAGTTTAACTGCCTAGTAACTGATAAATAGTATCTTTTTATAGATACTCCTAGTTTGATATAAACCTCTCTAAGTTACTGTCTACGACTTCGTGGTGTAGAAGAGATGTAATATGGCTAGAAGCAGAATCCAGGATGCGTATTTTTACTTTATGGGTCTCATCATTTAGATATTCCTAGGATGCAGGTACATCGACCTATAACCATTTTGTTGAAGTTATATATAAATTTGCAAATCATTTGGTATTCACATTCCTTTCTTCCAGTCCATATTGTCCCATGATATCTTCATAGTCGGTGTTGTCCATTCCGACCTTGGGATTTAGATGTTCTATCAAAATAGTCCGGTTCCTTACCTGAGCACTTCTGTACGATTGACTGAGGCCTCTGAACTTTATCATCTTTATTGCTATCATCGATGGATGTATAGTACTAGATAAAATTTAATGTAATTCCCTCATTCTTTATTTTGAAGGATGCTTTGAGAATTCTGGATCGATGGGATTTCCATCGTATGGGTGCTTTTCATGCTTCTTTGAACAGCATTACAGGAACTTCCTGCGTGTGCGGAGCACTTTTTTCCTTCATGACCAGAGTACAGCAGCATCTCTCTTGAATCTAATCTTTTCTTTTCAGCATGAGCCTAAAGGAAGGAAATTTGAGAAAGTGTGAGGACTTTAGGCATCACACTACTGTCAGTACCAAGAAAAGTTGTAAACAGAGTGTTATTGAATCAGATGAAAGACTAAGTAGACGCCCAACATCGGGGGGAACAGGCTAGATCCCGCAACAATCGCGCATTCACAGATCGCGTCGCGACACTTTAAATCACTGCTGAACAATCAATTGAAATTACTTCGTCATTATAAATCAACTTCCTTGACCATGAGAAAGCGTTTGATAGCGTGGATAAAAAATTATGGTGTTTTTCGAAATTATGGTGTCCTTGAAAATCGTCAACATCCTATGGAATAAACTGTGAAATTAGGCATGAAGGACAACTGATAGATGCATTCCAAGTAAATACCGTCGTTAGACAGGACTGTTTACTCTCGCCCTTTTTTGAATTTCGTAGAAAACTTAAAACTTCTATCCCATCCATATCAACAGATGAAGGTGAAAACAGACAGTACAGCAGTAGCCTCTGTATCAGTAGGCCTCATCATACACAACGGAAAAACAAGATCTCGAAATACAACACAGAAAGAATCAGCTAAATCATACTTAAAGTAGAATCTCTGGAAGATGAGAAAAGTTATGCGCACCTCGGCAGCATCACCAATAAACAAGTAAGATCTGACGTCGATGTAAAGGCGAGGGTTGGCAAAGCAAGGATAGCATTCCTACAGTTGAAGAACATATGGAATTCGAAACGACTGTCAATCAATATGAGAGTCAGAATCCACAGTACGAACGTCAAGACAGTTCTACTGTACGGAGCTGAAACTTAGAGAACTACAACAACCATCATCAAGAAGGTACAAATATTTGTAAATAGCTGTCTACGCAAGATACTCAACATCCATTGGCCGGATACCATCATCAACAGCCTTCTGTGGGAGAGAACAAACCAGCTTCCATGTGAAGGGGAAATTAGGAAAAGACGATGGAAATGGATAGGGCATACATTATAGAAATCACGAGACAAGCCCTAACTTGGAATTCTGAAGGGAAGCGGAAAAGAACAAGGCCAAGGAACATATAGAAGCAAATGTGAAAAGGATGAATAACAACTAGAAAGAGATGGAAAGTATTGCCCAGGACAGGGTTGGATGGAGAGTGATGGTGTGTGGCCTATGCTCCTTCACGAGGAGTAACAGGCGTAAGTAAGTAAGTATAAAAGATGAGAATTTACAAAAAAATAACATTAAGATGAAACTCTTGCCAAATACTCTTTGATTTACAGTTATACTTCAAATGATGTTCCAATTCTGTTGGATTGTGTAACCGTTTTTTTGCTGTCTTAAAATGATGTAGGCTTTTGGAGCTGTTGAATCAATGAGTGATCGTATCTGTATTCATTCTCAAAGTAAAATCTCTGTAGAATTAAGTGCTGTTAATCTATTAAGCTGTTGTACAAGATGTGGTCTTGGTTGTAATGGTGGTATTCCAGGAATGGCATGGGATTATTGGAAATATGAAGGTATTGTTACAGGAGGATCAAATGAAACACATACAGGATGTCAACCATATCCATTCCCTAAATGTAATCATCATGCAAGTACAAAAAGTTATCCACTATGTGAAAGTCATTATTATTCAACACCAGAATGTTATAAGACTTGTCAAGATGATTATCATAAACCCTATAAAAAAGATAAATTTTATGGTTAGTATTATAAAAACATTGTTTAGATTTGTATGTTTTGTAGTAGTGAATATGTTTATATAGGTTACACATTCTCAAGGGAAGAAGGTCTTAGGTTTGTGTCCCGCGAGAGAGAGAGAGTGTGTGTGAGTGCTCAGTGCTGAGGAGTCTCATACTAGGACAAAACGGATATTCAGTGTTTCTAGATATTCAACAGTGGTTTAAGATTGATCGATTTGTGATTTCAATAAAATCCCGAAAATAGTGAAGACAATATCTATGGAAGAGTAATATGAATTCATTTATTTTAGAGATTCAACATGTTCGTTAAGAAGCCTTGATCTGGATGGTGAACTTTTTCAAGATAAATTAGACTTTAAAAAAATTGCTGTGGGTAAACTACAGTAATCGGTTGATTGCTTATGGGGTTAATGTGAAAAATTTGTGAGAATGATATTATTGAGGAGGACAGATAGTCTATTTTATGCGTGATATTTAGTTTATCTATCGTACTAATTGGATGTTGAACACCATTCTCAAACAGTTACAAGTCGTGATATCTGTCCACCAATTAAGGGACAAGAATACTGCGCAGCAGTTCGTTCTGTTCTACTTTACGATGCGAGACGTGACCATTAAGAGTAAAAGATACTCGTAAGCTACTAGTATTTGACCACAGATGCCTTAGAAATATTGCTCGCATCTGCTGGGATCACTGAGTAAGTAATAGTGAGGTTAGACACGGGGTATTAGGGAATGTTAGTAAATCAGTTGATAAGGTTATAAATCGTCATCGACTGAGATAGTTGGGCCACGTGTTACGTATGCCTGAACAGCCATTACCGCGACGCGCAATGCTGACCAGTGTTGGAGATAGTTGGAAGGAAGTTAGAGGTGGCCAAACCAAAACATGACATCAGTCCATAAAGTCACTATCTCCTAGTCTGAGACATATTGGTAGATGCGGATTACTCGGTTGGGGTCCACATGACTATCGTAACCAATGGTTAGAGACTGTATGTGACATGGCTCAGAATCGATCACAATGGCGTAGGTACATACACCCTTTGTTTTCCCTTCCACTGTGAGATTAAAACTACTCTATACCTTTCTTTCTCCGAACTCATTCGTTCTCTCTGTATCATCTTGTTGTGCTAATGAGTTGTGGCAACATGGATCGATGCATATATGTGCCTGGTCCTACATTGTAGCTGATTGACTGAGTTATAAAGAATTATATCTAGAAAGATGACATAAGTCGTCAAATGAGATCACTTACTTTAAATCCAGGTCTTACAAATCACTGATAGTTTTCAACACAAACTGATAGTAAGTCTGGTCATGAAGACAATATAGTTCAGTCTCAATCAGAACAACTATTGGTGTTGGTCCAAAATATACCCTCATGTTGTTTAGATCAGTAATAACATGATAACTTAATCGATAGAAATGAATCAACTTGAAGAACAATGTGATCAAACAAATATAGACAGTATTCAATAAAAATTATTGACGTTAAAATTATCAATAAAATATAGAAGGATAACTATCCATCACTGACGATATATTCAGATATGTGGTTACTACTACTACTACTAATATTGTTGTGAACAAGAACACACAAATGAAGACAATCGAATGAATTCAACTATTAAATTACTATAATATCCACAAAAGCCCTATCTGATTGTACCCTTAATCATCATCATCTCACTAGTGACGGTCTCCAAGAGGTATTACTTGGAGTTCTAGTGAGAAGCCGTGATCAGTGGAGTACAATCGGGTCTATTGTGAGACTGTAACTCACTGATGACAATAGTGGACGGTGGCGCAATTTTGTGGATTGGTTGAAGTTAGACATTAACATCGTTGGATACCGACTTAGTGGTATAAGTTCGAATCCCACGAATGGGATCGTGGATGCGCACTGCTGAGGAATCCCATACCAAGACGAAACGGCCGTCCAATTCTTCCAGGTTTTCAATGGTCTAGTCTAGCTTCAATTAACTCATGAATTCGACGATTAAATCACTATAATTTCCACAAAACCCCTATCTGATTACAATCGAATGTATTTGAACACACATATTTACAGAACATCTTAGTCAAACCTGAAAACCGTACAGTAAATTCCTCATTTGTAAAATGTCAGTCAATTGTCTCAGATTTGATTGTCTTTTCATTTCCACACCAATCATCCTTTGTTATGGTTTACTTTTCTTTGATCTTCTTAACCTTCTGCCTTCAATCATTTCATTCTCCATTGATGATGATGCATACTACTTATATATGTTGATATCAGTAGTACACACCACCATTCAATTTATATTTGTTTTTCTTTTCTCTTCATTTTCAAAAGGTAAAACTTCTTATAATGTAGCCAGTGAAGAAATGTCGATCATGAAAGAGATTTTATTAAATGGTCCAGTTGAAGGTGGATTCTATGTCTATGAAGATTTTCTTCATTATAAATCTGGTGTTTATAAACATATCACTGGTTCATATTTAGGTGGTCATGCTATACGTATACTTGGTTGGGGTATTGAACATAATCATATACCTTACTGGTTATGTGCTAATTCATGGAATGATCAATGGGGTGATCATGGTTATTTTAAAATTTTACGTGGTAAAAATGAATGTGCATTGAATCAATTATATCAGCTGGTTTACCAAAGTTACATCAATAGTTTATATCTACCTAATTCATTTAGATAAACAAATGAATGAGATCATATTATAGATTGATGTTATGATTTTGTTTCTATGTGTATTATCTTTAACATTCAATATGAGCTAATGATCATTTGTCCGATGGTTACATAGTGTATATTGTTATTCATTCGGTATTATATGTTTCGGATTCCTTTCTAATTTGTTACAAATATCATTATGAGGTTATGGAGATTATTAAATTTTTGATTGAGATCATGAATCGATTGATGTGAGATCGCCATTGAAAACCTGGAAGCACTGGATGGCTGTTTCGTCCCACTGTGGGACTCTTCAGTAGTGCGTGTTTGCAATCCCGCACCCGGGATTCGAACCCCTGATATTCGGTCTTGCGTGCGAACGCTTAACCTGTGAATAACTGGGCAGGCCGGTATCCAACGGTGTTAATATCTAACATCAACTAACCTGCGAAATTGAGCAATTATCTTCCATTGTACTGAGGTAAGATACCTGTTTTCACACAGATTAGCTCCACTTGTCACGACTTCTCACTAGAACTCCGAGAATAAATGAAAATAAATATTACTGGATTCACTTGGTAGTGTTTACTTGAATAACGTGACTGGGTTTGAAGCGAACAGTATTGAGTTCGGATCCCAGAGTGAACATCAACTCTGATGCGGGTACATCCAGCTGATGAGTCCCAAATAGGAGGAAACACGCGTGCCACTATTCATATTTTGTTTAAAATGTTGATGGACGTTTGAATGTAATCAGTAGTTTTAGTCTGTTGAGTCTAATCTGGTAACCATTGAGTTTTCTAATTACTACTGTCAATACGTCGAGAGTGAGCGAGTTATTATCTCCACGTACCAAACCGTAGCTTGATGACATTGAATTGTAATTTGATCAATTAACAATTGTGAGTTTCTTCTTAGTCAAACTGTTTGATATATTTTTATTGTGATTAATCTATAATGAAACATAGCTGACGCTTTTGACGTTCTGGATATGATCTCATTGTGATATTACAAATATAGTTGATAGAATCGATTAATATAGTTGTAGAAAATTCTTCATTACTGAGAAGTAATTACACTGTGATGTTATCTAACTGATTAGCTTTTTTTAGAAAGATATTTTTATGGAACGGTGACGCTGACCTCACGCACAACCCTCCTCCTTGACACGTGCTTGTGACCGGCAGTAGCCGTGGAGGAGCTACAGACCAGCTTTTGTTGAAATGAAAATTAGGCAAAGACGTTGGAAGTGGATAAGACATGCATAACCGATATCATCAAACTGTTATATATCTGTGCTGTATGCTACTGATGTCGATAGATATAAGTAGTATGTAACACTAGTCAAATGTTGAATGACTGGTAGCAGAAGACCATGAAGATAGAATTTAAAAAAAAGACAGAAAGGAACTGTGAATTGGAAGAATCAGATAGAATATAAGGGACAACTGATGGAAGATTTGCAAGTGAAGCGGCGAAACTCTAATTTATGAACGAATCAATCAGATTCAAGATAACAGATCTTGGATTTTGGCTCGAAATTCATACATCAAATAAAGTTTTGACATTTAAGCTGATATCAGTTCTTTATGAAAACCTTAAATCTAATTCCTAACCTTAACCCCAACAACCTATAAATCATAATCATTACTCTTCACAGTACTTTATAACCTTCATATAGTCCTAGTTACTAGGTGAAAATCCTCTTTCAAAGGTCGTTCACAAATTTCAGTCTCAGCGTAATTATGTTCCATGTATTTTTGAAACTAGTACAAAGTACATATCAACTAACTATGATTGTGTTACATCCACTTGTTTATTTGAACATTGATACAGATGGTTGATTATAAAGATCAGTCTATATTTGTTTATTTAAGATAATCTTTATTTATTCTATTAAATCTTCAATGTTGATCATCCAAATATTTTCATACCAACACAGATTTATTGTGTTATGATCAGATAGGGGGTGGGTTTTGGAGGTTGTAGTTGAATTCATCAGTCAATATAAGCTAGATGATTACTGAAAACATAAGAGAAGTAGATGGCCATTTCGTTCTAGTATGGGATTCTTCACTGGTGCATATTCATAATCCTACACTCGAGACTCGAACACAAGACCTTCGGTCTTGTACGCGAACACTTAACCTATAGACCACTAAGCCTGGATCAAACGATGTTATTGTTGAACTTCCATCTAATAATGAATGGTTGCACAACCATTCATAAGGCAGATACTTCATTCTTATCATAATCACTATATGCTTACTGTTGAATGGCTTCAAGATGATTTCCTGGAGTTCTAGTGAGAAGTCGTGACTTGTGGATTTCAATTCGTGTCCGGTAGAGACAAGTATCTACCTCAGAAAATGGAAGATGGTCGACGTTAAATGATTGATTTTAGACATTAACACTTTAAGTCTCCGGCTCTATGATATAGAGGCTAAGCATTAGCGAGAGAGGCTAAAGGTCCTGGGTTCGAAGTCTGTGCGCGGGATCTAGATGCATAGTGCTGAAGAGTTCCACAATGGGACGAAACGGTCGTCCAATGATTCTAGGTTTTCCATGGTGGTCTAGCTTTAATTGACTCATGAATTCAACAATTAAATGAATAAAATCTCCACAACACTCTCTTGTGACAACAATCAAATGTATTTGAATGCAAAATTACAGAATCCCTCAGCAAAATCTGAGGACCATACAGCAAATTCTTCATTTCAAACTGTCAATCAATTGTCGCAGAATTGATTGTTTTTGTGTTTGCACACCAACAATTAATTAAGAAGTTATGAAACACTATGGATAACTAGTCAGTTTAACATTCCCACTTACGAACTGAAAATAACAAGGAAATGTAACATATTTCAAGCGATATGATCGAGTGGCTGAATTAACAGTTGATGAGTAAGACGATCTTGATAATGAACTGATCTCCTTCATACTTTAGCAAATTTCTATAAACTATTTACTGATGTTAGTGTAAGGAAATTTAAGCATCTTTAGTTCATACCTTCAAAGTAAGTCTACCATGTTAAATTCTAATGCGCTGTAAGATTTTCGTTACCGATTCAGCTGTCTCACTGTATGATGAATTATTCATTTGTAGTTCGACTTCAAATTTTACTCATTAAATAACTCTGTTTAAACATCTGAACTTTTTTATGCACTTTATGTCATCGTTCTTCCGTGACTTAAGGCAATATCAAGTCAATCCGCACAGAATGTATATATTCCAATAAGTGGTTGATCATTTACAGTGCCAAACAACAACGGGAAAATACAAGTAAAAGAACATCAAGTGTATTTAAACTTCGCCCATTGAACAAGCAAGTGACTATCAGGAATCAGTGGCTAAGTGTATAACGTGATGATGTTTCATGCGAACGGTACTGGGTTTGATTTCCAGAGTGAACATCAACTCTGAGATGGAGGTACATCCAGCTGACGACTCTAAAATAAGACGAAACGAGCTCCAAAGTGGATTCCACTGCTAGCCACCACCCATCTTTGCTTATAATGATTGTGAATTACGGCGTCATCGAGGCAATCCGCACAGAATGCATGTGTTCCAACAAAAAAATTGATCATTTACAGTGCTAAACAACAATAGGAATATACAAGCAAACAACAACAACTGAATGTTGTTAAATAATTGTGAGATAGTTCATTAAAATGTAACAGATGCACTAAACATATGGGGAGTCTAGGTATGAGGTTTATTAAAGAATAAAACATGGAGCTTTAAAGAAGAAGTACAAAATGAACTTTTATACGCGGATTTACAATATGAGCGATACAAAAAACAAAATTATTGAATGCATAAGGTGATCACGCGTGTTTTGTTGCGATTTGCTCAGACTGCTACTTGATACATTTTACAGTAGTATAAATCTAAAATTGAAAACCGTTTATGTCATTAGAATTAAATTGATTGGTAATAATTAACATGACTTGACGAATGCTGTGAACGTGTTTTAAGTCGTCTGTCAGACACTGTTTTGTGTTCTTATGAGACAATCAACTGATTGGTAAGCGATTTCATGAGAATAATCAATGACCGTTAGTGGAGGACTTACAGTTGTACACTGGTTGAAGGATTTCGATGGTTGTTGGATTTATACTGATTCGTGTTGTCAACTAAATAGTTCAACTGGATAGTTTTCTATTTCTACCGTAGTTGTAAAACAAAGAATTGTGAGACACTGAATACGGACAGAATTTCTAGTGAAGAACACTCCAAGTACTATTGAGTGTGTAATTCACCAAAGTGAAATTTACCCGTGTTCTTGTTCAGTCACCTAATTTCTATTCGTTACACAGATACTATGTTGTCAATAGTGCTTTGAAGAGACCTTTTAGTTCAGCTCAATCTTAACAGTACCGAAGATGATTTATTAATTGGTTATTTGTTGAATTGAAACATAAGTCAAATACTCAGTTTGAAGTGTATGGGGAAAATGGCATGAGGTTTGGGACATTTTACAAAAATGGACGGACAAATTGAAAATAAACACATCTAAAATGTCCACAGAAGATGTTCAAAGGTTGAACACTGTAGTGATATGACCATTAATAACATAAAACTAATCTCAAATAAAATTGGAAATTCAGCTTAAATGAGAAAACACACGTATTCAGGTATTTGATATTGCCTAACACTATAACGTCTTATTCATATTCATGTTTCTCAAAATATGTCAGTTGAGTTTAAAGAGGACATGAGACCTAACGACTTCAATATCACATGAAATCATGAACCAATGAATTTTAGACCACTATTAAAAACCTGGAAGCATTGAACAAACGATTACTCAGTAGAGTGTAGAAAGATTTCTCAGAGTGACTGTGGCTAGGGCAAATCATATTATTGTCTTATCTGAATATCTTTACCCTTAATATCCAATCAGTAGGAATATAGGAAAGACATGCTTTCTTATTCACTTCCCTTCGACGTTTTTGTGTGTTGCTTTATACTACTTATCAATATTCAGTAAATAGTTGTATTTCTAATAATTTTTATATTTATATTGTAGCGCAAGTTTGTTGTATAATATTCTGAAATATATACTTATCATATTTATTATATTCATCATTATAATTACTTTATCTCAATCATTGTAACAGTTATTCCTAATTATGTGCATTTGTCTAACTTTTATTTAAACGCAATGGTTCCCATGTATATTTGCTATTGGTTAAGCTTTTGCTTATCGGTAAACTATTACTAAGTTTAGACACAGCTAACAACTGTCATTTGCACTATCGGAGTCTTTTTATTTCAGGCAGAAAGACGCGGCGAACGTCACAGACATCTCACAAGTTGAGTTTTATAACTAATTTGTGTATATCATTCAATAAAGGACCGTCTTTTTTGAACACATCTTTGCCTTGTGAACTTCGATTTTTCATATATCACAATTGAGTAATCTGGATGGATTTTTTATATATATTCACATTTATTATGTGGAAAGATTTCGTTTGCCGTATTGTCCACTGTTATATGATTTGCCATTCTTGACTCAGTTTCGAATTATTAGTTATCATATCGCACACACAACCACTATTGGCTTGGTCTTGTGTAATAATGATTATTTTACTTTTTATGGTGTGATACGGTCTGGTTTGCTTGTGTGTGAAGCACAATTATCTAAAATATACCATTTATACAGCTGATATGTATCATGAACTCAAAAGTCATTACTATTTTGAG